CTGCACGACTGCACGACTGCACGACTGCACGACTGCACGACTGCACGACTGCACGACTGCACGACTGCACGACTGCACGACTGCACGACTGCACGGGTGGGAATAAGACCAAGCAGTGCTCCTGCTCCGGCCCTGCATGACAGGGGACCAAACATACCGGGAGACCTCCTTGAATCTGGAGGGACTCATTTTACCTCATTACCAAGCTTTCAGAGGGCAGAAACAGCAAACTGCAGAGAGGGGCGGAGGTCTGCTCACCTGCTGCTGATTGGGTTGGGGGGGTGGGTGTTATTCATGGAAAATACTTCTCTAGTAACGGATGGGTGGATGTTGGCCCGTTAGTGAAGGTGGGTGTGGGACTATGAGTCTCATGCTCGACCAACAGAGTATAAATAAAATACATATAGCAATGTTTGTTACTTTACTCCATAACAGAGTTACTGCAAGAAGTAAAATGTAGTCAAACCATCTGAGGACTGACTTTTGCTGTGACGAACTGCTAATATGATTGTAAAACTGAGGAAATTAAAAAAAAAGGGATGTTTGCACACAAGAAACAAACCCATTTTGTTTCAGAAGGCTTTCTATGGTTAAATGAAATTGCATACTTTTGAAATAAATACATGAAAAGCAGCAAGAAACAAATATGAGCAAGACTGGTTATGACTTATTTACTGCCACACAGGAAAGAACCACAGCTGGGCAAATCTCAGACTAATGCAAATCTCAGGCTGTATTTATTGTAACATCAGCTGTGGACAGTGCACTCTTTGTGGGCAAAATCTGCTTGGCTCACAGCAAGGGCGAATTCCTATTTTAGACTGTGCTTTGATCATTAATGAGAAAAGACCATGATTTTGTCCCTGTCTGCCAACTTCTGATCAAGCCTACAGATAAAGAAAAAACGGTGACTACAACTGACACATCTAGATTTCTTTTTGCAGTTTGCAAGAGATGCGCTGGACAAACAAACAAAAACACTTCCCTAAAACCGCATATACATTCATCTGGCTCTGCCTCTGAGCAGAAAACCTAGGAGCTTACAGAAGGAAAAACTTCTCACACAGAACAGAAAGCACAGAAGCCTCTGAGAAGAACAAATGCACTGTGGTGTGCCAGGAGAAACCAGTCAATCTGGAAGGAAATTGGTTTTCTGTTACAAGTGCAGCACTGTAGTGTAGGGGAGCTGTTTAAACTCCAGTTTTGGTATCTCTGCTCCAGTTATATGTCTGAGGATCTCAGAGCAAATTGAAATCCTGCTTTGCTCTTGCTACTTCAAGCAAGCAAGCGGAATGAGTACAGTGTCTGAGGTCTTCAAAAAGCTCATTACAACGGCAGTGCTCCTGCTATGCAGTTGGCTTGGGCCATTTGATTGTGTGATTTCAGGGCCTCGACAGACAGAACAATCTTTGAAAGGACACTTCATCTGAATGCAGAGGAGTATCACAAACACCAGGAAAGCCTGACACCACAGGGTCAGCTTTGTCAGCATTTTGAATTGAAAGAAAAAATCATTTTTCTCCCCACCCCAAGTCTGCAGTCACTCGAAGACTACGCATGTTCCTGAGTGCACAGAGCTTTGAGCTAAGATTGCTGGTGGAATTTGAGGCAGATCAAGTACACAGCGTACACAGCACGCATTTCTTTTACAAACTCCTGTGCATTTGTTCAAGAACAAATGTGGAAATTGGAGTTCTGGTTGTCAGACCACAATGGGACAGTATAGTTCAGCTGGTTTTGCGTCACACAGCTCAAATGCTGCTCTCCTGAGCAGGGCTGTAAACTCCTCAGATTCTCCCCCAGGTCTTCCCCTTTTGTTACTAAAAAAAGGATGTGGCTGTTCGATGGTAATTCTGTATCAGGAAACCAACTTTCTTTGCAAATTTAATGCCAGCTAAAACAACTGAAAAGCCTTCTTGCTTTTGAGCTGTGACGATAAGCTGTGGTAGCACACTGTGGTAAGACACAGGAAAAAAAAAACAGAGCAAATATGTAGCTTTCTCTCTCCAAACGCAAACATGAGATACAAGCTCAGAGCAAATAAAGAGACTGCCAAAAGCCTTTAATGTGGTGCTAAAAGAAAAATGTGGAACTTCAAGTTAATATGAAAAGTGAAACTCGTCTCTGGTACAGGAACAAAGAATCTGAACTGCTCTATTCCACCAGCTGCTGATAAGAAAGGCGCATTTGCCAATGAAATGAAACCTGGCAGAGCGCAAGAGGAGCGCCACGTCCAGCGTTTCACAACACAATCACCAGCCCTGACGGCTGTGGACGTCCCCACACACAACAGCCACATGACCTACACTGTGGCAACAGTTCACTTCACACAGCAAGCAAATCAGAACCACGGCCAAGCCCGGTAACCTCCTGGCCATTACTTCAATGTTCTGCACTGCTGGACAATACACTGTCACACAGATTTAAAACTAAAAGTCCCTTTGTTTCAATAAATAAATAACTACAGTAGCTAGTTCATTGTCCACTGCTGTGGAAATGCGTCTTTGGCTTCTCCCACAGAAGTACAAAACACACAAACAAAAAGAGTCACATGAAATCACAACAACAATATGTGACACATAAACAGTTGGATAAATAAATAGGAGGGGAGGGGGCACATTTACATACCTTCATTGAGCGCTTTTATTGCAGAGGGGACGAAGGACTTCTTAGAAATGTTTGTATTTGAATTTGGTCCCCTGTACTGTCTCCCTGATGGGAGTATTATGAACTGAGAATGCAGCGGGTGTGTGGAGTCAGCTCTGATGTTGCTTGCCATTCTGAGAACTGCATGACGATATACATCGCTGAGCTGCTGCTGCTTCCCAATTATTTCTCCTGCCGTTTTCCCAATCCCGGACAGTTTGGTTTGGATTTTTCAAAACCACAACCGCACCCAGGCGGGTCCCTGACAACGGTAGCGGGCCCGGCCGTCGCCTGCTGAATGCGCAGGACCGGCAGCGTGGCACATGGTGCTACACGGGCTCGCGGGGCTCGTGCTGGAAGAGGAACCCCTCAGCCCCCTCTCAGACCCCCCCCCCCCCTCCCCCCTCGGTCTTGGAAAGCGCCTGCTGGCTTTCTTTGCAGATTCAGGCTAGAAGGGAGAGGGCTAGAAACCTTCCCAAGTGTCCTAAACGAGCCGGTGCCTGGACCGATGCTTAGCAACCACTGGCAAATCCATAGAAAACACCTGAACCATACGGACATGCTTATATACTGCTGGTGTAAGCATATAAAAACACTGCATGAAGAGGAAGCGCTTTCTCACACACTAGAGAGACAGCCTGCTGGGTCACGGCGTCAGGACACAACAAGCAGGGAGGAGCAGGAGGAGAACAATCAACTATTCGCCACTGTTGTGAGTGTAATTCACACCACTCATGCTCCTCCTGACTCTGCTTAAGATGGGCAGATGCAGGGAGCAATTTGATTGTCACGACCAGATGATCAGATGATCTGCACTCAGTGCCACGTGGTTCTGTGGTGTACGGGAACTCTGGATCCCCACCGCCGAGAGGGCCGTGTGACAGCGCAGCATGTGAGCATGCATCTCCCCATCTCCACTGAGGAACAACAAAGTCAGACAACACTGACGGCCGACATGTGACTCGTTAACCCTCCCTCTGCCTGCCCGCCTCAGGATGCCAGCAATTCCCTCTGTGATGACCCCTGCCTCCACTCCTCACTAGAAGCGTAAACGATCTTACAGGCAGCCTCTTTGACTAAAAAAAAGCTAGACTAAGCATAATCAGAAGAATTTTTAAAATATTCCATTCGGCAGCAATGCTGCCCTTTAGAATCGGTCGTCTTTTCTTGTCAGAAGCAAGCAGGTATCCTCATAACTTTTTTATTTGATTGTGTAATAAACGTTTCCATCGGCACTGACAAGGACTGAACATTCAGTGTGACAAGAAGCACAATTTGCGGCCAAACTGATTTTATGATACAGCTGAACCCATAAAACCTAAAATCATCTTGAGGAAAAAGCCAGGGTGTGAAAAACACCCAGACAATCCAGACTGATGAACTGTGCTGAAGGGAAGACAAGACAAGGGACCTAAAGCTCACAGAATTTACTAACTAGGCCAGACTGCGCTAAAGGCCAGTGAACAAGTACTTCCCTTTTGGCGAAAAGCTATCAGGTCTCAAGTGAGTCAGAATTAAATTCTCCTTTTCAGCAAGTCTGTTGCACAAGGAATAAGGAAGCATGGTGTGTGCTGGACCTTCCGAAAAATCCCTTACAACACCCTTGAAACTGCGCAAATTCATTTACACTAAACGGGAAAATCTGACAGGCATTTTGGTGTATGAAAATAATCTGAAAAAAAAAAGGTTTATTTATTCTGGGACACCGTTGTGTGGGTGCAGATTCTGTAACCTGCTGGCCAGGGCAGACTTTAGCCACCCAGGCAAAACCCCTGAACTGTGGCCCTTACTGTGATTAGTGCCTGGATGTGGAAATGCCTCAGTGTTGCTCAAACATCCTGCACAATTCCTGAACTCTGGCCTCTGAGGTACAGACACCCCTGTGCAGGCACTGTCGCCAGCAATAATCCTTAAAGTCTGATCAGTCTGATATGTACACAGACTCGCAAGCTTCTTATCGTTTCTCCACAGGTCTCCTTAACTACTTCTGTCTTTCCAGACATAACACTGCTTTAAGAGTAGTTAGCACAGATCTACCCCCCCTTTACCCGTGTTATTTTCTTTTACAAATCTGTTCATCATCAGAATGCACTTACTTTACATGGGCCATTCGTGCACAAGACTGAATTTCCAGTATGCATGTATACATGTCTGCGTGTGTTTATACATATCGGATACGGACCGGTGAGTGTGCGTGCGGCGTGATGCAACAGTGATACGGTTTTGCTCCTGTACCTCTGCAACATCAAACGATATTAGCACGCCTTTTGATAGTAAATGGCGCTTGCTGGGGTTTTAATGCGCCCGGGTCCTTTCACAATTAGTGATCTGTGCCGAGAGAGACAGGACACCGACTGTGCAGCTCCGCACAGCGCGCACCGCAGCAGCTGCACAAGCAGGGAGACCAGCGACAGACCTCAGCAACCGGGGTTTAAAAATGCCCAGCCCGTCTGGACACAAGATCACTGGTCATTTCACACACAGCTCGCCCTGCTGCAACCGACTTAACGAGCGCCTTCACTTTCTGATGACGATCTCAGCTACCCCACGTCGGGGACCAGAGAAAAGCGATCGAAAAGTAACTAAAAGAGTAGTCCGTCTCATCCCGATCAAACTTCGCAGACCGCTTCCTCAGCTGTTACCTTTCTGGGGTACCTCTCCGCCCCACTGGTGCCGTTCAAGAGCGGGGTGCCCTCCCCCGGAGCCGAGTCCTCGTCCCGGCTGGACCACGACACCTTCTTAGTAATGTTAGCCATGGTGCCCAGCGGGAGGGATTCGCAGCCTTTGAGTTTATATTTCGCCGTCTCCCTGCCTTTCCTGTTTTTCTAACAGCCTGTTCGGCAGCTCCTCTCCTCCTCAGCTCTTCCTATGACACTCATCTTGCTGGGAATCCCGTGACGGAGAAGGAACGGTCACAACACTGCTACGGCAAGGAAGCAGGGACAAACAACCTTTGGAGGCCGAGGATTGTGGGAGATGTAGTTTTTACACATAGGAAAAAAAGAACAAAGGTCTAAGTAATAGAAATTTACTAGAAATTAATACGCACGAAAAATCATTTTAGGGCTTAAGTAAGCAATTAAGTCGAATTAATTGCTTCACGTTAACGGTGCTTTTGGTGGACACACGATAGTGGAAAAATGATCTGAGCAGTTGAAGTCAGTAAAATGAATACTTGCTGGGCTGGGTGCTGGAGAAGGTGAGCAGGTCTCTGGAGGTCACGTAATCGCCGGCACAGCTCCGGAGTCATTGGTGTCGCCTCCAAAACAACGCAGTGTGCGCCTCTGTGAAATTCAGCTACCCCTGTTCAGAGTTTGTCTTACCAGGACAGTGCCCAATTGACAGGAAGCAGGGGAAAGGCTCTCAAGATGTAGCCGTACATGGAATTGATTATTACTGGTCTTTTCAGAGAGATATTTTCAGGGCCAAATCTGAGAAAGACAGAAAGGTTTTGGGGCTGATAAAAAGAATGGAAGAACTGTTCTTGCTCTCTTTGTTTCTATGTGAATAATTTAGAGCTATCCATGGGTTAACCCTTTGAGCTGGATATCAGTGATGTGTGTTGGGGTAGAAACTTGTCACTTTGAATGGAATTATTTTGTCTCTTTCCTTCGTCTTTTTTTAATGAGCAGACGCCAGTGTGAGTCACTTCGCAGTGTGAACGCATGAAGTCGCTGCTCACTGTGCCAGGACACTGGAGATCCTATCCCACAGAGATGTGTTTGATAGGAAGTTTGAAAAATATGGCAAAATGCCAAAGTGCAAAGCAGGAGTTTTGCATTTCCAGATCAATTCATAAAAGATTGCATTACGGAAATCAGTGCTCTTCGGATTATTACTGAAACAACTGGCTTCTTAACCGTAAACAATTGGACATTGTCTCTGATGTAATAATGTATTTTATTTCCTAATTCTTGACAGATCAAGATCAGTTCTTATTTCATGTCTATTGAGTATTAGTTACAACAGAACTAGAACTTGGCGCCAGGTTTCTGTAATAAAGTCAAATCACCCACCTCCTAATCTGTTTTCTTACTTTGAAACTCAAACACTGAGCAATGGTTGCAAATAAGAAGGCTTTGAAAGAAAAAAAAAAGGTTTATTAACTTCGTTACATTTCTGTTTTTATGAAATCCAGCCCCGGCTACTAGGGTTTTGGTTCTCTTTTCCCGGTGAGCAAAGTGGATTCGATTCATGGAAGAGTAGGTTGTTCCAGTTGTTCCAGCTCGCGCTGTAGATCCCCCATGAAGGTGGACGTCCCTGATGCCATGCATGACGCCGGAGAGTCTCCCAGGGGGGAGGGCAGGGAAGGGATCTGTCTGCAATGACTGAAGAGTCAGCGAGGAGAGAGATGGCGCGGGCAGCAAAAAAGCAGATGTTCATGCTACGTGACTCCTTCGCGTTGCTCACCCCAGCAGTGAACGGCCTTTGTTCCCACTCGTACGGGATTAAGAAAAAATACAGGATTTTGTTCTTGCTGCAGTTATTGGAAGATCATCCTCTCAGCTGCTTGGTCTGTACATTAGTAGTATTGGTCTGCAGGAAGGCCTTGCACGTGTTTACAAAGTCTACACAAATTCCCTTCTTCCGTAAGGGAGGAGTTTTGGGCATAGAGAGCAAGCTGTAGAACACAGGGCTCTAGCACGGAGAGGTCCGTCCTGTCCCTGATTCACAGGCAGTGCTCGAGGCAGCCGCATTCCACGTGCTGGACAGCCCCGTTCACAGCGGCCAGGTCATCGAGGGTCAGGATAGTCCCCCTGGGTAGGCCCTTGCCGGTGGCGATCCCAGAGACCTCCCCGGGATCCAGGGCCCGGTTCCACACGGCGAAGCCCGCCAGCCTCCCCACGAAGGCCTCGGCGGCATCGAAGCCCCCTCCCACCGAGTCCTGCTCCTGGCCCAGAACGACGGAGCCCCCCGGCGGAATCTCGTAGCCCTTCTGGAACTTGGAGCCGGTGGAGGTGAGCCAGCGGTCGGTGTAGTGCCAGAACTTGCCCTCGATGGAGGACCAGATGACGCAGAGGTGGTGCCACTTGTTGTCCAGCAGGGCCTCGGCGGGCAGCTCCCGGTAGGCGGGGTCGCCGATGACGAAGTCCACGCTGGCCCGCTCGCTGGAGTTCCTGCCGTAGAGGACGAGCTTGTTGTCGTTCTCCTCCGTGGCGTAGGACAGCAGGGTGCCCAGGTACCCGCCCTCGACACGCAGCCAGGTGCAGACGGACAGCTCGTGGATGCCCGCCGAAAACCCCTTCCTGAAGGTGGCGTAGTTCTGGATCGAGGGGCCGGGGAAAATCAGCATGGACTTCACATTGCATACTGTAAGATACAATCGGATCCAGTCAGAAACCAGACAGTTCCTTCCTCCTCACACGCTGTTGTTCAAACAATATCAAGCTGACGACCTTGCGAGGAAAGGCTCGTGTCTCCTAATTGGTTTCAGGTCAGATTTACAGCAGAAATCCTGGTGCTTTTCTTCAGGAGATTGCTGTGTGCATGGTCCCTATACCTATATGGTACCTCTTAGGCAATGTATTATTTGTGTGGTCAGATTCACACAAATGTGACCACATGTTTGTTTCTCTTTGACGTGATCTGTGTCCCAGCTGGCGGCCTACTGCGAAAGACAAGCCGACACTTGGGGGCAGAGTCACTCTGCCTTTGCAGATCCTCCACAGTATTGGAAATCAGTAGACTGGATGTTTATTGGTGCCCTTCTGTTATACATCTTAAGGAAAACTGTACAGCATGGCTCTCTCCTTAATTAACAGAGTCAATCAAAGTGTTTTCAATTTATCAATGTTAATTATAGTTCCAGAACTTAAAATTCCTGAATTCTGTATGCCAAGTGGAAGACCATTAAATGTTCATATCCTTTTCAGTGTTCTATGCAAAATGTTTTGAGTTGATATGCTGACAGTGCCAATCTTCAATTGGACGGTTCTGTCTTCAGCCCGTCTCCCCTGTTAGGGTTTTAGCACACTGTGTATATTTCAGTGTTTTAACATTTTGGACATTCACAGACTAAGGTGTAAAAACTGCTCCGGATCATACCCGAATGCTTTTCAGAGCTGGTGACATGGTTGTTTAGAAGTCACAGCAACACCTTTATCGTTTCTTGTTGTCTATTTTGCGGTTTTGAAACGTACAGAAATGTCTTCAAAATTGGTTATGCAGACACTTTCAAAGGAAATCTGCAAAGATAAAATGAACATGTAGATAACTAATGTCACATTTTTGTATTTGGAAATATAATAATTTCTGCATTAGCTACTCTTCTTAGCACGTGACTGTCATTAGTGGGTGGTTAAGTGATTTTGGTTGCCTGACAAGAACTGTACTAATGGCATTCATCGGACATAAGCTGCCTTAATCGCCTTTCCACACAGAGAACTTCTGTTTTCTTTATCCTTTTACACACACTTTTGTCTTTTTTAGCAATGCAAAGCTTCAGATTCTTTGTAGGTACAATCTGTACAAAAAATAACCACCATCTGCTATTTCCATTTTTGGTGAAAAGTATGGAATTGCTTTAACAGATTTCCATTTTCCACAAAGAGTATGGAAATGTTTTTCCAGATTGTCTTAAAGAACATTTTCAGTGATTGGCTCTGTGCTGCAGTTCCATCTTGTTCTGGTTTCATTTGGTTTTATGATGATCGACATGTTGAAAATAGCAGAGTCCCTACTGAAACTGTGATATGTAAAAATATCACAGTTTTACAGCAAAGTAACTTACAAACTCCTGCACTATAAGGGGCAAAGTAGCTTTCCATAGTTCTAGTAACATGTACAAACCAATCTATAGAACCTTCCTAAGTCCTACTGTTTTGTAATCTTAATAGAAGAGTATACAGTTTAGTTTGTTCAAATTATGCTTAGTTTCATTGTCTTATTTGCTTAAGAAATTACTCTCCTACTGTTGATCTTTAACCATTGAGTGTTTTTGGCTGTAGGTGAATGCTCTAACTAGCGTTGAGCACAAGACTCCTCCGATTCGATTCAATTTTATTCCGTTCGGTGCAGTTCTATTCAGCATATACAACTCCTCATATACAGGCTCCTCCAACTCAACAACACTTCCCAGACGTTAAACAATTTTAAGGTATGCTGCCTCTTCAGAGCAGGCTTTGGTGCAGCGAAAGAATGTATTCTATGAAGCTGGTGGTAGACTGAGCTCTCTTTAAATCATACTTATTTATAGGCAGCATTCATTTATAAAGAATTACTTCTCATGTGATATGTGCAAAACATTTTCCATTGCCCTTTTCGTCTTCTAATATGTACAGGTTTATCAAGTAGGGATCTGCATCAGCATGCGTAGGCTGCAAAGGAACAATTAAAGGTTTATTCCGTGCTGAAAAGAGGTAGTACTCTCTTGCGTGAGGTAGTACTTACTCGCTTTCTAGGTAGTATTTACCTGTGTGAGGTAGTACAGGTAGTACTTATTCATGTCTGTGAGGTAGTACTTACTCGTGTCTGTGAGGTAGTACTTGTGTCAGGTAGTACTTACGCGTGTCGGTGAGGTAGTACTTACTTGTGTCTATGAGGT